CTGGGGCCATAATTCGCAGCGCCCATGTATGTATGTTTGTTTGGACTTTATAGACGGCTAAACGGCTGAACCGATTTTCTTGAAATTTTCACAGTGTCTTCTGGTATATCTGGATGGAACTATAGGCTACCTTTTGTTTTGGAAATTCAAGTAGGCGAGGTGCCACGCCCACATATATAAGGAGAGAAATGGGTGAACTTACATAAGCACCTCCCAAATGAATTAAATACAAAAATTCATTCATCTCAGAAACTGCTTGTACCGGCATATCCATGTACAAAAATTGCGACCTGCGTGTAACAAACACAAAGGGGCAGTGGTGAGTTGTTTACTTGATACTCACCCAGTGGTTGAAAAAGTACCACCGTGAGATAGGGCTACACGCCAGGTACTCACGTAAAGCACTTCGACTTCATATCTCAGAAACTATTAGACCTAAAATTCTAAAATTTTACACGAACAACTTTGACACCCATGTCAACATTTGTGTAATAAATTAGCGGACTTGTGACACAGTGAGACATTTGGCACTTTTAGAACGACTTTAATCAAATATTAGTGATATTGAGTTTTAATTTTAGTTACAATTAGCACACAATTCGCCAAACATCTATATATATAAAAATCAATGTATGTTTGTTTATTTGTTTGTTTGTACTAGGGATGCCAAACGGGAATTCCTATAGATGGGATTCTACCCGGTATTTACCCGATGTTTGGGTAAAAACTGGGTAAATATCAGGTATATATCTTTTTTCAGTCTTTTTTGGGTATTTATTAAATGTTTAAATATGAATATTTTTCAAAAATTGATTGACATATAGTGTCCATGGACGTTATGACAATTTTTAAAAGTGTTATAATGTCCATTGACATTGTATCACTTTTAAAACAGAACTGTATTTGAAAATTTGTAAAGAATTTAAGAAAGGAACACTCTTACCCCCAAAGGAATTTATCCTAAATTTGGTGTATGTTGCATTTTGGTTTCCATTTAAAAAGTGTTCTGGATAGCCGGCCTTTGGTCGGGCGCAGAGGTTTTAAACTCTGGGGTATTTCGAATACCGGCTTCGCTAAATTAAGCCTTCTTTTGATAAATGGACTCTTTGAAATCCATGGACTTTATGTTACATTACTCATACCTTGGGGAGATTTTTCATTAATTTTGGGGTGATTTCTCTTAAAAAAATGTTAGGGTTATACTTTATAATGAATTTTGACCCCAACATTGGGGCATATATATATATATATATATATATATATATATATATATATATATATATATATATATATATGTAGTTTTCCGATTTAACGAACATTCGTTTCTACGAACATCGCATTTAGCGAACTATCAATATTTTTACATTGAGTACCTTACATAACGAACAAAAAATACTTTTTGTACTCAGTTTAACGAACAAATATAAATAAAATTAATTGAAATTAGAGTTTAATTAACAAAAATAACTAAAAAACATTTCAGAAAAGCTTCGACGTTTTAGGAGGGGTATTTCCTTTTCCATTGCTTTCGAATATGGATTTCGAGAGTTGATTTTTTCTAATTTAGTAAAATGAAGGATCTAGATAATCTGAGATTTGTTATTAAAGATTTATACAAAAAATATGAGATAATCAAATCTACAATCCTTAATGTCGCAAAATCTAGAAAATCAGGACAACCAGAATTTGGCCTCAGAATTTGAAATCATAGAAATTGACGTTCAAAATAAAGACTTTACCAATCTTATACCTTAACATTTCGCTTTTATTTTTCGGCAAACTTACAAGTCCCCTTTATTTTTTCCAATAAAAATCAATTGTAAGAAATTGTAAGAAACGATATGTTATAGAATAAACAATTTAAAAAGTTTTTCTTTTGGAAAAAGGATATTTACAGGAATCGCTGTAAAATAAAGGAAAAAAGATTTTTTAAAACTTTGGGTTCAGATATCTCAAAGAAGGAAAAAGAACAAGATATGACAGAGGCAATATTGCAACAATTAAACTTAATTCGCGTTGTAATAACTTTACATTAATCTATTTCCTAAGCCTGATGTAATGGAGGAATTCTGAGGCCAGATTCAGATTCATCGCAATTCAAGACATTGGGTTTCAACTTCTTTAAGAATTATGTCGTCCGAGTGCTTTTCCAGAACGTAGATTAGTTTTACGAAATGAACTGTGTTTTTTTTCAGATTTCTTTATTGTTTTCACATTGTGATATAAATTGCTAGTTTTTCATAAAATTCTTATAAAATATTGTCTAAAGAATAATTGTTCAATTCACAATCGATGTTGTAGCGTTGTATGCGTAGTATGTCAGCAGCTGCTACAATAGTTATAACAATGTTGTTGGTATTTTATATGCAAAAGCTCTATACAACTCTTACAATTTTTCATATGTTTATTTCAGCATATAAATAAAAAATTCAATCGATTTTGGCATAAAAAACGCTAAAGTGGTAACACAGAAATTCAAACAAACAGCTGTTTACCAAAACAAACAAAAATAAAATTTTATTAAAAACTGTTTATTTATTAGTTTTAAGTGTGGAATAAAGAAAATAAGAGAATTTTAAATTAAAAGAAATTAATTTGGTTTATTTCGCTTGTTTAATTAATTTAATATTATTTGATTTTTTTATCTTTTGACATTGTTTGTTTTGATTGTTTTTTTTTCATTGAGTACATAAACTTATGACTTGCTGCAAAGATCTGTTCACAATCACTGTTACTACACTTTAGTAGATACAATATACAACTTGATTGTGAATTGAACAAATATTTCCTGAAACATATTTTTAAAAATTTGATTTTATGTAATTTTAATTATTTATGTACCCAAAAGACACTTTCGAGTTAGTACTGCATATAATGAACTTTTCGATTTAACGAACAGGCCTGACAACATATAGGTTCGTTAAATCGGAAAACTACTGTATATATATATATATATATATATATATATATATATATATATATATATATATATATATATATATATATATATATATATATATATATATAAATGTATGCATGTACGTGGCGCTGCGAATTAAAATGGCCCCAAAATATATATGTTTAAACAATTTTGAAAATTTCAAATCGGCGCTATCCATTCCATATAGGATATAAAAAAGTTAAAATGCAAATGCTTAACAAAATTTTAAATTTATTAATACAAAACTGGAAATTTTTGATAGAAGAAAGTGTCATTGTTTGACCCATAACGTGCAAAAGCAATCATAGGAACTGCAGTTTATACCCCATTCAGATTTAGTACCCAAATATTTTTGCTCAATGGTTCATTAACTACTTCTTCTATTGTAACTTTGTTAACAGTTTTATAAAAATATAAATCAATGTCATTTCAAAAAAAAAAAAAAAAATTGGAATCAAGGAGTGCTCGAACCACCAACCTCTGGTTTGTTAAATAGACGCGCTAGACAATTGGGCTATAACATTTCCAAATTACTTTACTCTATATCCGTAAGTACATATTCAGATACCCAGCAAAAAAAGACGTGCAAAAAAAGTAGTAAATGCATGGGTTGAACTGATAATGAACTGGTTCATATTTAGGGGAAACATGCATGATTTCAACATTAGCGTGTCATTGGCATGCATGGGTTCGTATTTGGAAAAATAGTTCGTCATTTAAATGAGTTCTTATAACCAATGAATATTCGATGATTCTCAAGCGAATTTTCATTGGTGCACTATTTTTATTTAAAAATGCATTAATAATGGTATTTCGATTTAATAATCAATATTTAAATAATTTTTTTGCGTGATATTGATAAAAATAAAATAAGATAAAACATAACTAACTGATTTTGATTGAATTTAAATTCATGCAGAGGAAAAATACCCATTGTGTTTTAAAATCCGTTAAGCAGTCTTGGTTTTTTCCTTCTCTTATTAATGTTAAAAAGGATTTAATATTACTAATTTTAACAAAAATCTAATAAAAAAATTAATGTCATTTTTAATATTTATTGTATGAAATGCACGTTTTCGTTAAATCTCCTAAGAGAATACCAAATTATAGTAAAATATTACAATTCCTATAGTGGAGTTACATGAGTGAATTTGGGTACATTTTTCATGCCTTCACTGATGACAAATTTATTAGAATTTAGGCATGTATTTAAAACGCATTAAATAGAATACTTACCAAAGAAATCATGAAAATATCCCTTCTTCTTTAACAACTTCAACATTTTTTTGCTGGGTAAATAAAATAATATGGTTGATAATGACTACTCATTACCAAGTAATGTATGAAATAACTACTTTTCTTTACAAAAAATTAAAGATTTTTCGTTGGGAATGAATGAAGAATATAAGATTTATCGTATAGATAGAATGACAAAATAAGATCAATTCGTTAGGTTGGTTATTGTTACCAAGAATATACAAATATGTACATTAGAGGCGGTCAAAAAATACAATAAAAATGTTAGACTCAAATTTATTTAAAGTATGTAGTTTAATTACTAAAATAAGTGGTTATTACTCCTATTACATGCAAGAACTTATTTGAATCTTGTAGTTAACAATATATATAAGTACATATTTAGATCATTACATATTTAGATCTCACTAATTATTATTGTATTTGAAATAATGAGATTAAGATGTATCACTCATTACTTTGTAACCTAGGAAATAATTACTACTCATTACCGAAATTCAAGAAAATTTTGCTGGGAAATTTGGTTTTAGCCCTATATATTAAATTTTTAAATACACTGTGGTGAATATAAGATTCGGCACTGGTGAATAAAGAACTTTTACGTGTTTCTATTAATTCTTTATAATATCAATTAATTTTTTATGTTATGTGTGGGTGTAGGGAAAAAGGGCTTTTTCTCATAAATATAGGGAGTTCTGAAAAATTTTTCGTGGCATGACTGGCCGAAATCCTCTCAGCTTAAACTGAGTAAATTTTCGTTACTATGTCTAAAATAGTTTATTAATTAATGTTTTCTTTTTAGTCCGCGAGCTCACCTCGGCGTGTTGCAGTTCCCGTTTTGGTAAAAGATGGAAAACCTTGCTCAGGAGGTAACACAATTCAATCACACTCACAACAACAAGTCAGCAGCGTAAATAATGTGGGATCAAATATCGTAAATGGAAACAACTCTTTATCCAGTAATATAAATCTTATTAACGAATCTGCAGGCTCCCACTCACCAGATACGTCTTCATCAATACATGCGTCGTATAATGGAAATGTAACTGGTACTAATACGCAGATGTTGCAACAGCCGTGTAATAACACAATTGTATCTAATAGCTTAGCAATGGCTTACAGAAATCAAAATAATTTTATGTCGAATGGACACCAACAGCAGTGTACTGGTTACTTGCCCTTGCAGGGAAGAGCGTGGTAAAAATTATTATATAAGCTCTGTTAATACTTTAATTTTATATATTATTTAATCAATTTATTCGTAGTAAGCAAGAGACATTTATATACAAATAATAACAATAAAATAATAAAAAGGACATGTTAAATCGGCTGTGTATTTTTTTTATTAAAATGGAAGGTACATATATACATAGATCATTAGGTAGGTAGGTTGATAGGAGGATGTATACTACATCAAATCCGAAGAAATACACCAAGGCTACTATCGGGCCTTTTGTGCGCTACTTATCATGAAAAAAAAGGAACTGAATGAATTATTTTTTAGTGTTCATAAACTCAGTTTCCTGAACGTAGTTCCTAAGAATCTTCCAATCAGTGTTAGTCAGGAATGTTATTTCCGGAATAACATCACTTCCAAGATACTTGGATCTAACTTCGATGAATGCCTGGCAGTGGCAAAGAAAGTGCTCCAGAGTTTCACTGTCCTCTCCACATGCCCTACATTCTTCCACTCAGAATACGTACCATCATACTAACTTCAGACTTGCTCATTTTGAGGAGATTTTTCGTCTTACTCTCATTAGGGTCACCCCATAGGATCTTCGTGGTTCTAATCACTGTTTCATTATTCCAAGAGGCTTATGGGATTCTCTCATCCATATTTTTAGTTCAGATTTCGTTGCGCCGAATGGTTTCGCGTTTGTCAGGTTAACTCCCTCGAGCTCCCTTCCATTTAAAGCTATTACATTCGCCCTTTCGTTACCGACTACTCTCGAGTGGGCTGGTACCCATATGATGTGAACCTTACATCTGGAAGAGTATTCAGTTAAAGCTTTCTTACAATCCAATACGGTCTATCGCCTAATATCGCCCTAATTGCATTCTGGCTATCGGTAAATATATTAAGCGCTGTGGGCGCCATATTTCTTCTAATCCAATTTACGCATTCCGTTATTGCTCGTACTTCTGCCTGGAAGCTTGTGTTATGATTTGGTAAACGGTGGTATATTTCTGTTTCTGGGTCTTCAATATAGAACCCCTGGTCCACTTTGTCCCCCAATTTAGAGCCATCCATGTAACAACGGGTTCCTACTGGTATTTGCTCCGATGTTCTGCTCGACCAAGATATTCTATCTGGGACCAGCGCTTCAAAGTTTCCGATATATTCTGCGTCTGGTGTACGATCCGGCACGTCCGATGATTGTGTATAACCTTCCAATGTGTCCAGTATACATTGATGACGTGTCCTATAACCGCTTTTGGCCAGTTCGCCTAAAGTAAAGAGCCGTTCGGCTGTAAGCGCCGCTTCATTTCTTAAATATGTTTCAATGGTGGAATATCTAGCAACGTTTCCAGAGCCTTGGTTAAAGTAGTACACATGGCACCACGTATACCCAAGCAGCATGTACGCTGAACTCCCTGTAGTAGTTTGATATTGAACTTTTTGTCTAAAGCAGTCCACCAGATTATTGAAGCATAAGCTAGAATTGGTCTAATTACACTTTTATAAGGCCAATTTGTCATAGTAGGACTAAGACCCCATTTCATGCCTATAGTTCTCCTATATATCGCCCAGCACCGATGTGCCTTGTTGATCCTATCCTCTATGTGGTATCTCCATTTTAATTTCCGATCGAGGATTACACCTAAGTACTTAACTTTGTTTGTCACTGGTATCTTCTTGCCCAGGAAGCAAGGTTCAATATACGTAGAAATTTTTGTCTTTCTTGTGAAAAGACAGATTTCCGTTTTTGCCGGGTTAACATTGAGGCCTCTCGGTTGAGCCCAGCTCAAGGCCGTATTCAGAGCCTCCTACCGCGAAATACCTTTTTCCTGATAGTTATCCATCTGTTCCTTAGCATGTGGTTGATCCAGTTACGGAGCACTCGGTCAACATAAAACTGGTCTAGGGATTGGAAGAGAGTATCAGTGTGCTCGTTATTGAAGGTGCTTTCGATGTCAATGCATACCGCCAGTATATATAGTTTGCTTTCAAAGGATGCACCTATGTAGTGAACAACTTCGTTTAAAGCGGTTTCCACCGATCGTTTTCATTGTCTCCTCCATATCCTTCAGCCTCCTGCCCGTATCATCGACCATAGATTCCGGTTGGACATTAGTTTTGGATAAGAATCTTTTATACCCACCATCAAAAAAGATGGGGGGTATATTGATTTTGTCATTCCGTGTGTAACACATCGAAATATTGTTCACAGACCCCATAAAGTATATATATTCTGGGACCTCGTAAGATTCTAAGACGATCTAGCTATGTCCGTCCGTCTGTCCGTCTGTCTGTTGTTGGCACGATAGCGTCCACAAAAAAAGAGATATTAAGATGAAATTTTTCCAAAATATTTCTTATTGATCAGAAATGTTTGGTATTGAAAATGGGCAAAATCGGTCAACGATTTCACATAGCCCCCATACAAATGTACCCCCCGGAATATTGTATAAAGAGCTTCAAACATTCACAAATTCGTTGTTTATGAAGCAAATGCCACAAAATTTCAATTTTTTGACTACCGAAATAAAATTTGACTACCGAATTACGGCGGAAATAGCACCACATTTGCCCTACCCCCCATATAAGGTCCCCTTTTTAAAATGACTATAATGCTGATTACTGGCTTAAACATACAAATATAGCGATGAAATTCGACATACATAGGTTTCAAGCAAGCCAATATCTCTCCACCAAATTTTATGTGTATCAATCCATAATTGATACTACGCCCCATATAAAGTCCCCTTCAGAAAATGACTTTAACGCTCATTATTGGAGTAAAAATACGAATATTGAGATGAAATTTGATATAAGTATGTGTTATATGAGCCAAAACCTTTCCACCAAATTTTATGCAGATCGGTCCATAATTGACCCTATCCCCCATATAAGGTCCCCTCCAAAAAATTACGTTAACGCTCATTACTGGCTTAAAAATACAAGTTAGCGATGAAATTTCACAGAAGTAAGTTTTATACGAGCCAAAATCTCTCTACCAAATTTTATGTGGATCGGTCCATAATTGACCCTACAACAACGAAAAATAACGCTCATTACTGGCCTAAAAAATGAGTAAAGCGATGAAATTCGTTATAAACATGACCTGTATGAACCAAGATGGTTCTACAAAATTTTACGAGGATCGGTCTGTAATAGACCATCCCCCATATAAGGCCCCTTCAGAAAATTACTTTAAAACTAAATACTGGCTTAAAAATACTAGTAGATCAATGAAATTCGACATAAACTAGTTTTGTATGAGCTAACATCTCTCTACAAAATGTTGTGGGGCCCATTGTTGTTGTCGGCCCATAATTCACCCTACCCCCCATTTAGACAAAAATACTCTAACGCTCATTACTGGCTTAAAAATGCGAGTACAGCGATGAAATTCGACACTGATAAGTTCTATAAGAACCGAAATCTCTCTACCAATTTTTATGAGGATCAGTCCATAATTACCCCACCGAAAATTTTTACAACGCTCATTACTGGCTGGAAATTATACACAAATATGATTTGTATAAATAAAAATCGTTCTACGAGATTTAAGGATGATCGGTTCATAATTAGTCTTACGCCCCATATAAGGTCCCCTTAAGAAAATTACTTTAATTGGCTGAAAATACGAATACCGCAATGCAATTCGACATAAACTAATTTTAAGCTAAAATCTTTTTACCATATTTTATGAGGATCGGTCCATAATTAACCCTAACCCTGTACAAGGTCCCTTTAAGAAAATTACTTTAATGTTCATTACTGGCCTAAAAATATAAGTAGAACTATAAAATTTGAAATAAGTAAGGAACTGAAATCTTCCTACCGTCAAATCCGAAATCTTCACTGTCAATAGTTGAATCCCCATTAAGAGAACTATTTCAAATATTACCCTGATGTTCACATTAGTATCGATATATAAAAATAAAATATTCAAAATATCAAAGTTTTTTTATGTGGCAGTGATTTGATGGTGTATATAAGATTCGGCATAGCCGAATATAACACTCTTACTTGTTTATCTTCGATACGTCGTTTACGCTGCCTACCTGTTCACAGAAAAGTTTCCAGGAGTCTTTACGAACAATTTTCTTATATTCACCTAGTTTACTACGATACTCATTCCAGTATACTGCAGTCTTTTTACGCCTGGTCAGAAAAGGAGTGCTCGTCCGAAACTCTCCAATCCTGAATTTCGTTTATAAGCTCTTCTGAACATATAGTTATATCTAATACTTCTTCTCTGATTCTATTAACGAAGGTAGCCACTGAACACTAAGAAGTGAAACGCTGTCAAAAAGTACCTAAGTCTACTGTCAGAGGGTACCTAACTCTAAGAATGTATTAGTAGAATTCTAAAGCCAACATAGTTGCAAAAAATGGGATTTAAAAGTATTGAAAAAAAATTATTACACTTAAATTTATACTTTAAAAGATTTCCTTAAATATTTTGCAACATAATTTATCTATAAACGTTATATATGAATGTATCTTTGTTTTTTAATCTGCAATATTGAAATAATAAATAAATTATTTTAAATATTTTTGTCTTGTACAATACGAAAATTTACAACATTGTTTTTTTTTCAGTTTTAATTTCAACAACAAAAATTAAATGTCAAAAAAATAAAAAAATATTTTTTCGTTTGTAAAAAATTAAATCTTTTCTATTAAATATATTTAAAGTGTGCAAAAACATAATAAAATAATAAGTGATGAAAAATATATTCAAGTGCTATAAGCCACGAATTTTCGCGACAAAGTTTTGAAGTTTGGAGAGAGAGTAAGATTGTTACATATGTGTTGGAGTTACACAGAACTCGTCTGTGAGAAGAGTGTAACGTTATTGTTGTAAAAAAATGACAGCGTTTCACTTCTTAGTGTTCAGTGAAGGTAGCTTTATTACCTAAGTTCGATGTGATCAAGTCTTTAGTATTAAGGAAATCCATAAGGGCTTGTCCCCTACGATTGGTGTTTGTACTACCCCAAGCTACATGGTGGGAGTTGGCATCACAACCTATTACAATTTTCTTATTTTTCCTTTGTGCCTTTTCTACCAGTTTCAGCAGCTCCGACGTTGGTGGTATTGTCGGAGAATCGAAAGGCAGGTTAACAGATGCAAGGTATA